CCAAAGGTTGAGCCAGTTCCCCCTCCCTCCAGTAGTCTGTGAGTGCTCATTTTCCCACATCCTTGCCAGGACTGCTTGTTATCAGTCATTTAAATTTTTCCCAATCTAATAGGCAAAAAATGGTAGCATGTCATTTTCATTTGCATTTCCCTGATTTCTAGTGAGATACAACATCTTTTCCTGCATTTATTGGCTAATTTAGTTCCTCCTCTTCAGATTTCTAATTCACTGCCAATTTTTCTCTTCTTTCACCTTTTTTTCTTATTGATTTGTAGCGGCTCTTTGCATATTAGTGATATTTCCTTCCAGTGTCTCATTTGCCTTTTAACTTTGCTTATGTGTCTTTTGCTGTACGGGTGTTTTATGAGTTTATGTACAGTAGTTGGATTTGTTGAATTTTCACTTTATGGCTTCTGGATTTAATGTCTGGCATAGAAACGCTTCCCCCACTGCATCAGATTTCATTTCAAATAAGAATTTTATTGCTGAAAAATCTTTGCAACGCCCTGGTTTGTAGGCTCCTTCCCAGCTGTGTATCTATTCTTCTCGGCAGCTGCAGGCCTGGCTCTGGGGGAAGAGAAGGGTGGCCCTATCCATTCATCCGTCTTCAGCTCTTTGCTCTCCCTCTGTCCAGCTGGCTTCAGGGTCGCTGCTGTTCTGTCTCTCTCAGAACCTCTGTCTCTCCTATGCTCTGCCCACATTCCTCTGTCTCTGCTGGTTTCCCGTCAGGCAGCAGTAATTAGGGACGTGAGGTGGCAGTGGTGGCAGGCCTTAGTGGGTTGGGGACAGGATGACAGCTGTCATGGAATGTGCCCCCCTTGCCCTCCACCTGCCAGGTTAGCCCCAAGTCATGTGGTCTGGCAGGGGAGGCCCTGGCCTTGTTCTCTCTCTTGAAGAGACTTTTTCCTGCTGGAACCCAAGGGCGGGCTCTGAGCCAACCCTAGTCCCTTCTCCATCAGGAAGCCTTCCAAGACAGCTCCCTTCTCACAGCCCTGGGCTTGGCCCTCCCTTCTGCCCTTGCTGGTCTTTCCCTATCCTGCCTTCTCAGTGTTGAGCTCTCCAAAGTCCACCTGGCCACCTCTCAGGATCTTGGTTTCTACCAGTGTAACAGGTCCTGGGAGGCATGGCACACACAGAGCTGGTGGGTCTTCCAAGCCAAGCTCTGGAAGGTGGTCCCTGTTACTCTCTCAGTACAGCCCCACCCCTCAAAAAAAAAAAAAAGCGCACCAAAAATCACAAGAGAGCATTTGCATGCTGCTGACGAAGAGATAAGGACTTGTGTTCCATCAGGATGGTGGCCAGCGGGGCTCACTGGTTCTCTGCTCACCCCAGGCTTGGTGTCCTGCTAACTCATGGGAGGTGCCCAGGAAAGAGAGAAAGGGCAAGGACCTAGAGTGCTAATGAGAAAAAGCCCCCATTACCTCATGGAGATGTGAGCCCCAGGTGGACTGGAGGGGGCCTTGGGCTGGGGGAGCAGTTGGGAGAAAAGTCAGGGAAACTCGGAGGTCTCTTAGAAGCATGGCTCAGAAGGGCATAACCTAAAACTCTGAGGTACCCTTCCCTGGGCTCCTGCTATTTCTGGCCTTCTGTCCTGGCACCCACCCTCTGATCATGGTGGCCTGTCTCCCCTGAGCAAGAGCAGTGTCCTTTATTTCTCTTTGTTCCAGTAACAAAGCACATGTAGATACTTAACAAAAGGAGAATGAATCTTAGGGAGTAGCTAGGGGCACTGATCAAAGGGTTCAAGTCTGGGGAGGAGAGACCTGGGCTCTGGGCTTGGCTTCTTGGTTGACTTCCTGTGTGACCATGACCTTGCTGGGCCTCAGTCTCCCCATCTGTACAGTGGGTGTGGCCTCTTGAGCTCTGTGATTCCACAGGCCTGCGTGACGCACACACGTGGCATACCTGCCAGCGCCCTGCTTTCTGATCGGTGTTTGCTGAATGTGTACTGGGTGCTAGCCCCGCTTTGTGCCAAAGCCACTTAGTCAGAGTCCTTGAATGGCTGTTTCTGTGGAGGTCTCACATTCTCCGGGCATTTGCTCATTCTGCTAAACACATGGGCTGCACAGGCTGAGAGCTCCCTGGGCCCCACTGAGGTGGCAAGGAGCCAAGATGGCAGGTAGGAGGCCTGCAGCTGGGATTTCATGTCTTTCTGGGGACCTGGCACATGGGCAGATCCCGTGTCCAGGAGAGTGCCCAGCTCCCACTGCGTCTCCTCCCCTGCCCCAAATCATTGTCATGCTCTGCCTGTGGTCCCATTTCCATAGCAACTCCTTGTGATGCCACAAAGGAGAGTGGGAGCTTCAGGAAGGTTTGGGGGGAAGGGAGCAGGAGGCCCATTCATTGTCTTGGAGCATGGCAGCTGGGGGCCCCGAATGGCACTGTGGGGATGGCTTGCCCTGCCAGCTCAGGTGGAGCTGGGCTCAGGGCTGCTAGCCAGGTGGTCTGGAGGTCTTCCAGGGACAGGGCTGCCCGGGTTGGCCTGGGCCTGGCTGGCTTGTACCAGTCTACCGGGATCCGTCTCGGGAGGCTGCTGACAGCACCCCGGTCTGGTTAGACCTGGCTTGGAGAACCCAGGCCCGAGGAACTGCCCGGGCATTGCTACCCCATGTCCCAGGCTGGCAACACGATGTTCTGTCCTGTCCCCCAGGATCAGCAACCAGTGGGAGGTGCACCCAGGGCCGGCCGGCAGCAGGGCCATAGTTTGGGGCTGGTGAACTGTGGGGCTGGGCGGGCCTCTTTTCGCTGGTGTGGGCTGCTTAGTGGCTCTGTTGCCAGGACAGGAAAGCCAGAGCCGACCCTGGAGCCTGCTCAGCAACCATTTCTCTGCCTCCTTGGAGAAGCCTGCAGCACATAATACAGGAAGACCCTGGCCTCAAAGCATCTCCTCCATCTTTACCTGCCATGTAGCTAGAAATTCCAACATTAGCATCTTAGATTTGATAGAATGCTGATTCTGGGAGGGACCCTAAGGCCTTTTTCATCTTCTGCCCACATTATAACAATCATCTTGGAGCCCCATCCACCCATCCTTCCGTCATCCCATCCAGAAGGCCCCATGAGTCCTCCTGGGGACCTTGGCCTGTGCTGGATGGCACCCAGTGGGGAATCCAGCAGAAAGAAGGGGCTGCTGGCCTGGCCCTCCAGGGAAGGTGTTGGGTTAGATGCCAGCTTCCTGAGCTTCCCTTTCACCACCACGGTTGAAGCCACCCCTGGGCACTGCCTCCACTGTGTTTTCTTTTCTTTCTTTCTTTTTTTTTTTTTTTTTTGAGACGGACTCTTGCTCTTGTTGCCCAGGCTGGAGTGCAATGGCCCAATCTTGGCTCACTGCAATCTCTGCTTCTCAGGTTCAAGTGATTCTCCTGCCTCAGCCTCCTGAGTAACTGGGATTACAGGTGCCTGCCACCACACCCAGCTAATTTTTGTATTTTTGGTAGAGATGGGGTTTCACCATCTTGGCCAGGCTGGTCTCAAACTCCTGACCTCAGGTGATCCGCCCGCCTCGGCCTCCCAGTGCTGGGATTACAGGCGTGAACCACTGCGCTTGGCCTTGCACTCATGTTTTCTTAATCCTTGTCTTCGTGTTGACTTACGTTTGAAGGTGGATTACCACGGTGCTCCCCAAGCCACACATCCAGGAAATTACACCTGTAATGTGCCTGTCATGTTTTTTTCCCCAATATACAGAAAGAAACATATAACTATGAAAACGAAAACGTTTGTCTGCACACCACAAAATCCCCTTGTGCACCACCAGAAGTGTGTGTCTCCTACCTTGGGAAACATGGATCTGATTGAAACCTCTCTGCAGCAGCTCAGAAAGAGATGTGGTACTTGGTCTGAGAGGTTGAGGGAACAGAGGAGGAGGCTTTGCCCAGGGCCACCGGGCCAAGAGGAGGGACAGCTGGGAGTTAACGCGCCTCCTTGGACTTTCAGCCGAGGCTATGTCTTGCACCATGGAGGCCTCAGAGCCTTGCCAAGGAGCCAGAACTTCCTAGCACCCCACTCGTACTCCCAGAGGACTGAGGGTCTAGTCTAGAGGAACCTTTGGAGAATATATGATGAAGGAATCAAGCAGGATGGCTGGGCATGATGACTCCACCGATAGTCCCAGCACTTTGGGAGGTCGAGATGGGAGGACTGCTTGAGGTCTGGAGTTTGAGACCATCCTGAGCAACATAGTTTTCAAAAAAAATTAAAAAATTAGCCAGGCATGGTGGTACACACACCTGTAGTCACAGTTTCTTGGGAGGCTGAGGTGGGAGGATCACTTGAGCCCTGGAGGTTGGGCTGTAGGGAACTATGATGGCACCACTGGCTGGGTGGCAGAGCAAGACTCTCTCTTGTAAAAAAAAGCAGTTGCTGGGGATGGGGGATGGGAGGGTGAGTAGGTGGGGGTTGTAGGGATCCTTGGGGCCTGGGAAGTTGAGGCTCAGGCTTAAGGAGAGGCACCCAGGTACTGCCCATTATCCCCTCTCAGGGCTCAGCCTAGGGGCTGCCTTCTGGGGCCTGGCTGGGGAGGAAAGCAGGCAGTGGCACTGGCTGGACACCTACTGTGTGCCAGGCCACGTGTCCCTTCTCTCTCTCTATCCTCCCAGCAGTCTTGGCAGGGGGGATGGTATCTCCATTTTATGTATGAGGGAAGCGGCTTTACCAGGGCCACAGAGTCAGTTGCTGGGAGAGTCATAGTCCGACTGCAGCCTGCCTGGGCCACAAACTCTGCCCTTCCCAGAGCGCTGCCTGCCCCAGCTAGTGCCGTATGTGTGCACATGTGTGCACAGTGGAGAGCATGTATGTGTGTAAGCATGAATGTGCCAGTGAATGAGAGTACTCATGTGAGCGTGTGCAGGTGTGTGTGTCAGAGAGTACGTGGGGGGATGTATGAGTTTTCGTGGCTCAGCCACGCAGGATCAGCCCCATTTGCAAACGCGGTCCCCACTCCACCCTGACCGCCTGCTGTCCTGCTCTACCTGACTGCCACCTCCTTTTTCTCTCCACAGCCTCCTGCACCCACAGGCCCTGAGGCTGCAGTGCTCACAGGCAGAGAAGGAGACTGAGTCGAGCCCAGGCTGAGCCCTGCCCAGCTGCACTCCGCAGACACCCACCCAGCCCAAGGTAAGATGCCACTCTGGGCGGCGGGGCAGGGTGGGGGTGGTGTGAGCCATGGAGGGTGGGGGTCTGCAGGGGAGGCTGTTGTGGGCCCCTCTTTCTGGGGTTTTCCCCATCTCTCCCTCCCCACGTGCAGCCACGTCTAAAAGGTTTCCTGTGGACAGGTGGCAGGTGCCACCTCCTGCCAGCCCTTGTTGTAACAGGGCTCCAGCAGGCAGCTTGGAAGCCTGGGGCGTTCTTCCCAGCAACTGGGTTTCACAGACAGTGCTGGCTAATGGGTTCCCACGTGGCAGGGGAGGTCTCTGAGGGCAGGCTGCCGGGCTCTGTCCTTGGTCCTGTCACATTGTTGACCAAATGCATACCTGACTTCAGGTGGGGAGGGAGCCAGAACACATGGACTGAGACAGTCGGGGTCCAGGAAACTGTCAAGAGGCTGGCATTGGCTCTAATGTGTGGAGTTTAATAGGGCTGCACACCAGAGACAGCGTGTGGGTCCAGACACCTTCAGGACGGGATGAGGCTCAGACCCCAGGTGTGTTTGTGCGACAAGCGCTGGCAGCCGGGTGACCTTGGCTGACTGTATCACGAGGAGCAGGAGTCCCAGAATGTGGGAGGTGACAGGTCCTCTCACTTCATGGTCCATGTGAAGGGATGTGGAGAAGCAACAGCCTGTCCCAGAGAAGTGGGAGATGGGGGGCGGGGGACCTGGGTTGCTGCCTGGCTTGACCCCTGGCCTACTTGGACCTTGGACAAGTCACCTCTACCCCATATCTGGGATAGTCCCCCTGTTCTTGACAGGCCTGTGTGACCCATGAGAAGACTGCAGAGGGACTTTGCTAAACAGAAGGAATGGTGGGGTGGGCTCGGGGCAGCAGGCTGGCCTGGCGTGCTGTCCTCGTTTTTCAGAGGAAGAACCCTGGTGGCTCTGCAGGCAGCAGGCCTGGACTCCCTTCTTTGAGGGATCGGGTGACAGTTGTGTGTGGCCGAGGGTCAGTCAGCCCTGTCCTCATGCTGGGAAGCCGGTGGGAGAGGAGGCCTGGATTTCCCTCCTAGGCACTAGGCCTTGCTCCGAAGCGCAGTTAGCACCATCAGAATATTTCTGCTAATTAATGGGCTCTGGGGGGAATGAGCAGCTAATCAGCCCCTCCCATTTCACCTGTAATTGTTGCTGGGCGATTTGTCTGAGGATGTGGTCAGGGGTGTCTGTGCAGGAACCGGGGGATGGGGGCAGGGGGGCAGGGGCATGAGCAGCCTCCCCACTGCCCAGGCAGATGGTGGCACCCACAGGCACCTCAGCCCGGGGCATGGGGAGCTCAGCGGGTGGGGAGCTGAAGGGGCATAAGGACCGCAGTCAGCTGCGGGTCTGGCGGGGCTTGTTGGAACAGGTGACACCTGGGCTGAGCATTGAAGTCTGTAAGGTGCTTTTCAAACGTTTTATTTTTCTGGTTAAAAAAGAGTAATGTGTGTTCTCTATAGAAAAGTGTGAGCACTTGGGTGTTTAGCCTGTCAGTCTGCTACAAAACATGTATTTATGACATAATTGGGATCAAGCTGTACTTTCTGTTTTCTAACTTGCCTCTTGCACTTAATCCCGTACCAAGATCATTTCTCATCATTAAATACTCTTCTATAATGTGATTTTTAATGGCAGTGTAATGTTTCAGCCTGTGTGTACCATAGCATGTTTAGCCAAGTCTCTCTTGTGTGTTTTGATGGTTTCTGATGTTTTGTCACTATAAATAATGCCTGGATGAAGAAAGTCATGGATGTAGGGCTGTGATGGGCAGGAAAGGTTCAGGGTGGCAGGGGAGGCCCAGTCTGAGCAAGGGGGCAGTGGTGGGGAGTCTAGAGTGTGTCTGCAGAGTGGCAGGGCTGGAAGGGGCTCCTTGCCCCAGAGGCTGAGGAGCTGGGGCTTCACTCAGCAAAGCTCTAAGCCTCTGAGCAAGCTCAGGTTTGTCCTTGCTGCCATGCTTCCGTTGCTCCCTCCCTCGGTGCTCCAGTGATTAGACGGGAGGCGGCATGTTGCCGTGTTTTCACAAGGAAAGGGCAGGCAACTCTGGGGTCCCTGATGACCTCTCCCTCACTGGTGGGATCCATGGTGTTTAAACCAAGCCCCTCTGCTCTCTGGGGAGGCCTGCCCAGATATCCTCCTGCTGGGCAGGGGGGGTGCAGACACCAGCTCTGAACACTTCTGACTCCTGGGTCAGCACAGCTAGTCAGATCAGCCTCTCCTTCATCCCCTCACTGCGGGGTGGCTTATAATAGGGACCCTGGAGGGCCAGGGAGGAGGCTGGAGGTGGTTTGTCCTCTCTTCCAGGAAGCTCCCCTGGCCTCTGGGTGGAGCTGGTGGGCCCTCCCTAGTGCCGCCCTCCCTGTGCACATCTGTTGGCCCCAGCACTGCTCTCATGCTGGGTTGGGTTCCCCCATGGCTATGGGCCTGCTTCTCCCAAGGATGAATGTGCAGTGGTTCATTCATCCCTCAGTCCATGCTCACTGAGCACCTGCTACACATGAGGCATTTTTTATGTGCCCAGCATGGCATCCGTGGGTGAACAGGTTAGACCATGGCATTGCCGTCAGAGAGCCGAAATGTTAAGAGTAGGTAGAAGAAACCAGATAAGTAAATCCATAATATAAGATTAGGGAGTAACAAATGCCACAGAGAAGAATAAGGTTGGACAAGGGGGCAGGCATGAAATGGGAGCCCTTCTCTGCAGGGTGGTTGGGAAAGGCATCCTGGATAAGGGGCTATTTCAGCAGAGGCCTGAGGAATGGGAGCAGGCTCTGTGGAGCCCTGGACGGGCTCTGAGCTGGGAACAGCACAGTTGGAGGGCAGCCCATGAGGAAGAGGGGCTGAGAAATGCAGTATGCAGGGCCAGGAGTTACAGAGCGATGCCTACTGGAGGAAGGATGGTAGGGTGAGTGGGAAGAGCAGAAGCTGGCAGGCCAGTGGAGACCCTAGCATCCATCCAGACCAGAGACGGTGGGGCCAGGCCTGGGCAGGAGGAGGGCTCACGTTTGGAGACTTTGAAGGGGTAGCTGAAGGATGGGCTGTGGGCTGGGAGAGGTCCAGCCTGGGAACGGGGTGGGCACTGGAGCCTTTGCCAGCACCGAGGAACAGGGGTTGAGCGTGGGTTTGGAGGGGAAAGCGACATCCTGCTTGGAAGTGTCTGAGGTGCCTGCATGGTGTGGGAGGCTGCACAGACAGTAAGCCTGCAGCTGCGGAGAGGGCTGGGCTGGAGATGCAGGTGTGGGAGTCGTCAGCATCTGGGGGGTTTCTGAAGCATCTGAGCTTGGACAAGATGATGGAGCGGTCTGGGCCTCCTTGCTTGGGGCGAATCCAGCCCAGGGAGCTCCCTGCTTATGGGTGGGCTGTTACTCCAGCTTTGCAGACAAGGTCCCGAGATCTACCGTCCTGGAGAAACTGCTACCAGCCTGCCCTCCCAGCTGCTCCTCCCAAGTGGCCTAATGGCTGGCACCATCACTCTGTGGCGCTTATCAGGGCTGCTGTCAATAAGTATGGTGCTGACACTAGGCCTAATCTTCTCACCCCTTCCTCTTGCAAGGGACTCCTAACTGGTGAATCTGGAGCCGCCCAGGCCCTTCTGAGCCCTGTTAGTGGTCACTACTACAGGCCTTCCTCTAGGTCATGCTCTCCCTCAAGAACCTTCAGTGGCTCCCTGTTGTTTAAGTTGACATCCAGAATCCTTCTCCTACATGTACAAGGCCTTTCATGATCTGCCTCCAGCCCACATTTTCTCCCCAGCCCAACTTCCAACAGGTGACTCTCCTGCTGCATCCTCCACACACCAGGCTCAGCCTCACCTTCCATGTAGAGTGCTTTCTTAACCACCAGCTGACCCCTACATTTTCCAGAATGTCTGCCCTGACCCCCCACCTCCCTCGGCCCCTTTGGGTGTCCACCTGTGCCTTTTGCCGGTTCTTCCAGGCCTCATGGCTTGTAGTGAGCTATCTTGTCAGGTCACCCCAACTCATCAACGCCCTGATCCTCAGCTTGTCTTCCTCTTTGCCCTCGTCATCCTCTTGTCCCTCTTGTTTCCCGCCTCTGTGCCGCCCCACCCTCATACAATGTTGTCAAAGCCCTTCCCAAACAGAATCCCATTCAAACTGCAGTGCTCTGTGGGCGAGGTTGCTCAAGCCTGGCTCTGCATCAGGACCACCCAGGGATGTTATTAGAGACAGGAATCATCCTGGGTCCACTTAGACCTCCTGATCCAGGGTTACTGGGAGAACCCAGGAATCTGGATGGTTCACAAGCCCCACAGTCACCTTTTGATGGTCAGCCAGATTGGGACCCATTGGCCCAACCGAAAGTCATGATGAGGGAGTATAGGTATCCCTGAGATTGTGGTCCTCTGATCTTTACTTGCACACCTTCAGGGACAGGGACCTCACTCTCTCCAGGGCAGTTCAGGCCCTGGAGGCAGCCTTATATGGCTCTTGCTTATACTGACTGAGCTGAAGCTGCCTCCTTGAGGTCCCCCTGGATGGCCATAGGGTCCACATGGGGCAGAAGCTATGTTTGGCATCTAGAAGCTCTCCTTTCCCACCCCTAAGCCCAGCGGGGGGGCCCAGCACCTAATGGGTATTTGGGCAATGTCTGTGGCTTGGTGGATGGATAGAGGACCTGCCTTCCTCCACCCCTGCTTTCCTGGGGCCTCCCCAGGTCATTGTTCTTGACTGTTCCTCCCCAGTCTTCTCTTAAAGAAGTGAACTCATGGAGCAGTGAGGGGCTCGGAAGACCCACCTCCTTTACCTTCAGGCCCTGGCTGGGGTCACACCACCCAGTCCCTCTGTGTGTCTGTTGTTCCAGCCATCGCCACACGTGTCAAGAGCTTTAGCATTTTCAGAATACAGCCCATCCTTCATCCCACCTCCTCCTTACCACGGCCATGGGAAGGTGGATGCCGCCATTTCTGTTCATTCTTCCAGCCAGCATTTGCTAAGCACCTAATATGTGCCAAGCAGTACCCTGGGGGTAATTT